TGGAGCCGGCTGCCAGGGACAGGGCGGGCGAAGGCGGAGAATGGATGGCCACTGCAGCCCCGTGTGCTCCTCTCAGCAGAAACCAGGGCGGCCGTAATGGGCTGGCGGCCCCCAAGCTGCAACCAGCTTTGTTTTCTGCCACAAATGATCGCCCACCTTTGCTCACGCTCGCTTGTTCCATTACCTTGGTGGGCCTGAAGGACTGGCGGAGAAACAGCGCAGCTGCCCCGGCTGCCCCAGCCCAGCCCCAGTCTCCTTGGCAGGGGCCCAACGCCCACACACCCTGGCCCCACACACCCTGCCACCCACGCACCCAGCCGCCGGCGCACCCTGGCCCTGCACACCCTCCTCTTCTGAAAGTCCCGGCCCCGGGAGTCAGCAGATCTGGGCCCCCACCTGGCTGTGCCCCTGCCTTGCTTGGGGGCCTCTGCGGGGGCACCTCCTCTGTGGGCCTCCACTTCCCCATCTGTGAAAAGAGAAATTCCATGTGAGCTGGAAGGCGCCACCCTAACAGATCACAGCCCTGGCTTCACCCACCTTGAAACACGGGCGCCCCCTAGCGGGGAGGAGCGACAGGGGGTCTTGGCTCTGCCTGCCTCCACCCCACCCCCACACCAGCTGCCTTGACGCCTCCAGGAATGCCAGGCTCTTCTTTGCCTCTGCGCCTTTGTGGGTGCTGTTCCCTGCTGTTCCCTCCTCGCTTCTCTGCCTGGGGCCACCCCACACCCTTCGCGGCCAGCCTGCATTCCCCCTCTCCTGGGGGGCCCGCGCCCCTCCCACCTTGTGCTCCCACACACCTGTGTGTCTCAGGAGCTAATATTCTGGGCGGCAAGACACGGGTGTGAATTCAGGTTGGAAAGTGTGAATGCCGTGTTCCCCTCTCAGATAGAGACCCGCCCCCCACGCAACCCCACTCAGGATTCCCCTTCACTCTTAGCCCCCCGTCTTTCTAACAGGCAGCCCCATGGCCACACCACACGCTGGCGCAGAGACCTCCCCATTCAGAAGGGGCATCACAGAGTCCCCTCTCCGTCTCCCAGCCATGCCAGGGACTCCCACAGTCCCCACCCCGCCTGGCCTGTGTGTCAGGTGCACCGGGCAGCCCATTCGCATGGACCTGGGTGAGACACCCCTGTGACTTCCGGCTCGGCAAGTGCTGCGGTGTCAGTGCAGGTTTGGGGGACCCTGCAGCAGACACGGTGGTCGGAGCGCTTTACTTGCACCGCCACTGAAATAGCACAGCCCCTCTGGGAAGCTCCTGACTCACAGGCAGGGAGGCCGAGGCTCACCAGAGCCCGGAGCCGGTCCCCAGTGGCGTGCCCAGGAAGTGGCTGAGCCAGACCTTGCCCCTGGTGTGTCCACACCCGCAGCCCTGCTCATGGCCTGCCCTCAACTCCATGCGGCGACAGCCAGCGGTGTCGGGACTCCGGCCGCCCTCTCTCCGCAGCCCTGCTGTGTGTCCCCTCTACTGTGAAATGACAGCATCGCAACAGGTGTCACTCAGGGACCTGATGTTCTTTTTCTTTCTTTCCTTCCCTCCTTTCCCTCCCTGTCAGAGTGACAAAGGAGAGACAGAGGGGCTGGCGCTGTGGTGCAGTGGGTTAACACCCTGGCCTGAAGTGCCGGCATCCCATATGGGCGCCGGTCCCAGATCCAGCTGCTCCTCTTCCGATCCAGCTCTCTGCTATGGTCTGGGAAAGCAGTAGAAGATGGCCCAGGTCCTTAGGCCCCTGCACCCTCGTGGGAGACCTGGTAGATGCTCCTGGCTCCTGACTTCAGATAGGCCCAGTTCCAGCCATTGCAGCCATTGGGGAGTGAACCATCGGATAGAAGACCTCTCTCTCTCCCTGCCTCTCCTCTCTCTGTGTAACTCTGACTTTCAAATAAACAAATAAATCTTTAAAGAAAAAAAAAAAAAGGAGAGACAGAGAGAGAGGTCTTGTGCTGGTTCACTCCCCAAATGGCCACAATGGCCAGAGTGGAGCCAAGCCAAAGCCAGGAGCCAGGAGCTTCTTCAGGTTCTCCCGCAGGGGTGCAGGGGCCCCAGCACTTGGACCATCTTCCTCTGTTTCCCAGGTGCATTAGCGGGGAGCTGGATTAGAAGTGGAGCAGCTGGGACTCAAACCAGGACCCTTATGGGATGTTGGCACTGCAGGCAGAGGCTTCCCTTTTATACCACAGCCTCGGCTCCTAAATAAATCTTTTTAAAAATACTTGAGGGCCCAGGTTCAACCTGCAGCTCTGCCACTTACTGTGGGACATAGAGCCTCAACGCTGCAATAGGATGAGGGCAGTGGCAGCCCCTCCCCCACAGCTGTGGTAAGGATCAAGTGAGACCCTCTGCGAAGAGCTGACAGCCCCCCTGCCTCCCCTCACCCGCTGCTCTATTGCGGGACTCCCCCACCCGGCCCGTGGTCAGCTGTGCCGACTTCCTGTCCCTCGGGACCTGAGGACAGCCCAGCCACGCCCACAAAAGGTGACACCTCCCCGAATGGCTCATACCTCCCCAGATTCCCCTGACAGGTGGTGGGGTGAGGGTGTGGGTGGGGGCTTTGATTGCACAGGTAGCGAGCGGGAGTGGCTGCAGCCTTTCTCAGGCCCCCTCCCCCAGCCCTCTGGGAGCTGACTGGAGCCTGGGCAGGTGCTGGTGCTGAGTCCTGGAAGGTGCCAGGGGGGCTGGGTGATCCTGGGGGTGTCGCAAGCCCTGGGCGTGACCTCCCAGGGGGTGCCCCACTCCTCACTTTTCGAGAAAGAGGAGGGGCTGTGCCAAGCAGGGCTACAGCGGGCGGGGAGCCCGGCGCAGGGGGAGGGGCTTGTACTGGAATAGGGGCAGGCTGGCCAGGGCTGGGGTGCCGCCCACGGGAGTGCTGTTGGCGGAGGTGGTGACACGGCCTGGAATGAGGGGGTTGCTTTCCTGGACCCAGGCCGCCAGGCCACAGGAACAGGGACAGGGCAGCTGGTGGCAAGGCCTCTGTCACCTAAGGTCTAGAGGAGAAAAGGGACTTGAGAGGCCCACAGTGAGTTCATACATTCATTCCTTCATTCATTCCCCAAACGCGCACTGGAAGGCTGGCGCTGGGGACACAAGGCTGAGACCCCGACGTGGCTCCTGGCTTTGGCCTGGCCCAGCCCTGGCTGCTGTGGTCACTTGGGGAGTGAACCAGCAAATAGAAGATCTCTCTCTTTCTCTCTCTTCTCTCTCTCTCTCACTCTGCATTTCAAATTAAGTGCATCTCAAAGAGATAGATATAAAAACCACAAAATATATATATACATAATTCAGTTTAAGAATCAGAAGAGGAAATTGGTGCATAAGAAGCCGTGTGCCCCCGGCTCAGCAGCGACAGACAGAAGCCGGAAGCCAGAGCTGGGTGCGGAGGGGCCTCCTGGAGGCCTGGCTCTGCCCAGCTCGGCCACGCACCGGCCCCCCGCTTGCTGGGCAGTTCCTTCTCCCCCAGACCTCTAGGGCCTTCCAGGTCAGGCCTTTGGTGCTCTAGGGTCCCCAGAACAAGGATCTGAGTCCAGCCAGGTGGGAGGGAGGCTGGGCCAGTGGGAGCGCTGGAGGCCCCCGGGGGCTGGAAACTGGCAGGGCGGCCCGACCGTGTGTCCTGCTGGGGTATGCAGGGGGCCCTCCCCCACCCAAAACCAGGCTTCAGGGCACTCCAGGAGCTGCCGTGGTGAGCTCTGACACCCAGGGGCCCAAGTGTGATGCAGCCATGACCTCGCTGTGGAGGTGGGAAAAGTGGTCAGCTCCAGGGAGCACTGTGGGCGGGTGGTCGCCTGCCCATACCACCCTGCCTCCTTGCTCAGCTGGGCACTGGGTGGGCAGGGCTGACGGTCAGGGCCCGGAGCCCCTCAGCTCCCAGCTTGCTCCGTGAGAGGGCAGTGGGGGAAGAGAGGCCGCGTGTGTGGCATGCGCTCTCCTGGACACAGGCAGGATGCGAGAGGAGGGCCGTCCGGGCCCAGGACTGCCCCGACAGCTCTGGGGGAATCCTGGGGACGCCACACACAGAAGCCCAGGGAGAGACAGGAGGGCCTGGGGCAGGTGGGGTTCTCAGGGAGACTTCTGCCGGAAGTCCAGGGTAGCTTGAGCTGCCTGAAGGGTCGACCACTACCTTCTGAACATGGCTCAGGAGTCGCTCAGACGTGAAGCTGGCCTCGGCCCCCAGGCCACCTGCGCCATCCACACAGTCACCAGCCCACCTGGGCCACGTCATCTCCGAGAAGCCCCGCCCCACCCCACCAGCGCTTGCCCAGCAGACAGCACCTGTCTGCGGCCTTTGAGCCACTCCTCTCCAATCCGCTGTCCTCTGAGCCCAGCAGGTGCTCCAACCCTCCCAGAGGCTAAGGGTAGAGACCCTGAGTCCTGCCACCCCCCCACCAGCTCCTCCACCATCTCCCCCACCCTCTACTCCCTCGAGGCTCCTCCCTGACCTTCCCCACCCTGTCCTGCCTCTGGGCTTAGTCGGGGCCCTCTTCTCCCCCTGCCCCGCCCCCAACCCTGCACCTCCCTCAGAGCCCAATTGGTCACTTTCTCCAGGACATCCTCCCTGCTGCCCCCAGGTTGGGCGAGGAACCCCTCCTGAGCCCCGTGTTCTCTCCCCACACTGGCACTGCTCTGTCCCTGGCTTGCGAGCGCCCCCTGCAGTCTCCTGACAGCGGGCACTTGTGGAGCAGGTTCCTGGGCCCGCTGCCCAACTGGTGTCCTTGGCCCAACCGCCGCCTTCTGTAGGGTTCCCCTCTCCCCGCAGCCATGCTCGGTCCACACTGCAGCGAGGCCATCAGGAAGGGTAGGGGGAGCGCGCAGGAGACCAGGGGAAGGGGTGTGTGGCGCCCACCCGAGCCTCACCCATTTCCTTCTGAACGGGGTTGGGAGAATAAGCAGGGGCCTGGAGCAGCTGTCCCTCCAGGCAGCTGTGTGACCTCTCCTGCCTTGAGGCCACTCCCAGAGCAGTGAATCACCCAGCTGATAGCTGGCTGTGCCAGCCCCCTGCCAGTCCTTCCCCGCCCAGGGTCAGGTGACCCTGCCCTGCCCAGGCTGCAAGCGGCCTGGCGCTCCCGGGCAGAGCTCTCCACCCAGTGCCCGAGTGGGCAGCCAGTGCCCTGAGCAGGGAGGAAGGGCCTCCCCCCGCCCCGAGGCCTGCAGACGGTGGAAGCTGAGGCACAGAAGTTCTCTCTGCCTGACCCCCCCCTTCCCGCGTACTCGCCACCCACCCTGGAAGGAAGCCCTGGTGAGTGCTGCCTTGGCCCGCAGGGATGGGCGGGGACGGCCTTGCTGAGCCCTGCTCTGGGCCTGAGTCAGGGCAGGGTCTGCTGGCCCCAGGGCCTAGGCACACTGCGGGGATGCTGTGTGTGGCTGGGCCAGCGTCCCTGAGGGCCTACACATCCCCGTCTGCCCGTGTGCGAGCTGGGCTGGCCACAGCTCAGCAGTCTGGAAACTCCGGAGTTCGCGCCCCTTCCGGCTCCGGTGGAGGCAGGGAGGACTGCGGTGAGCTGGGTCTGCTGAGGAAGCTGTGCAGGGGCAGGTGCGGGGGCCAGAAGCCAGCGATTCCCACCGCACGCTGGGCTAACCCCTCAGAGAGGCAGGCGTCCAGGACAAAAACAGCGGTGCCTGGGCCCCGGGAATGGCATGTCCTGTCCCGGCGGCCATGGGTGACGTCAGTGTCCATGGCAGTGGCCTGGGGCCCAGCTGCAGGGTGGTGGAGGCTGACCGTGGACATGGCGGAGGGGTCAGCCCGCTGCCCTGGGCTGCGACAGCCTTGGGGGCCCCACCGGCCCATGGCTCTTCAGGGTCCCCCACCACCTTGGTGAGCCCGAGGCCTGATCCTGAGCCTGCCTGGTGGTCCCCAAAACCCCTGGGTCATAAAGGCGCCGATGCTGGCCCCTCTCCAAGGTGGCCTCGCTTTTTAAAGGCACCAATTGGATTCTTAATCTCTTTATTGTGAAAATATGAAAGCGTGGGGGTGACATCGCGAGCGCTTGCACACCTGCCCCTGGGCTGAAGCAGTGGTTCCGCCGCCTTTGCTTCATCAAAGCTGTGAAGGCTGAGGGTTGGGTTTTTTTTTTTTTTTTTTTTAAGATTATTTATTTGGAAGTCAGAGTTATAGAGAAGGAGAGCCAGAGGCAGAGAGACAGAGAGAGAGAGAGAGAGAGAGAGAGAGAGAAAGATACCTTCTATCCACTGGTTCAATTCTATCCAACGCCTGCAATGACTGGGGCTGGGCCAAGCCAAAGCCAGGAGCCAGGAGCTTCTTCCAGGTCTCCCATGTGGGTGCAGGGGCCCAGGTACTTGGGCCATCTTCTACTGTTTTCCCAGGCACATTGGCAGGGAGCTGTATTGGAAGTGGAGCAGCCAGGACCCTAACCAGTGCTCATATGCAGGCACAGGCTTAACCACAGCACGGGCCCCAGGGCTGAAGGGTTTTGAGGACCTCCCAGCACCCCCACCCCCACACACACAGTGCCTTGTGGGTGCTTACATAACCCAGTACCATCATATCTGCGTCCAGCGTGGATCTTTATACCCACAGCTGTCTTTTTCAAGCAGGGTCCGTGCAAGGTGCATTTGCTCAGCCCCTCTCTTCATCACATTCAGTCTGCACAAGCCTCTGCCAGCCCCACACGCTGGCTGGCTGGGTTGAGGGCCAGTTGTCCCATAGGAGGGACGGAACACGGCTGGGTCAGACAGCTCTGTCTACACAGGGCCCAGAGAGGCAGGGCCAGGTCTCCCCTGCACCCTGCCCAACAAACTCCTTAGGAGGGACCTCCACATCTCCCTCTGCACAGGGGCTGTGGCCCCTGGGACTCTCATTAACCTCCGCCCCAGTGCATCCTGGTCTGAGGCCAGGCTGAGTGCACCGGGGGCCTGAGCAGGCACTGAAATAGCCCTCCCCTCGCAGAAATCCAATCCGCGTGGTTGCTGGCCAGTTCACCAGCCTGCAGGGAAAACCATTAACTTCATGAGCACCAGGCTGGGGAGGTGGGGGAAGGTGGGGAGGGGGAGCTCTGGAGGACGGAGCTGCAGGGGTGGAGGATGGTAACGCAGGGGGAGTGGGGAGATGGGACATGAGAACTTGTCTTGCTGAATCCACCTTGATGATGATGTAAAAACTGCTGCCTGGTAGAGGCGGGGCTTCAGCTGCTGTTTGGGACAAACCCAGGGCTGTCGGGGAATGCATCCCCTGGTCCCTGGGTGAGGGGATGGGTGCTGGCTTTGGTTTTCAGGAGTTAAGGCCTCTTTGGGCATTTCTGGCCTCAGCACGTCCGCTGCTGCCCTCTGCTGGAGAAAGGCCTTGCCTGCGGCCAGCTCTGCAGTGCCAAGGGCCAAGGTGGCCTGCACAAGACAGGTGGCAGTGGCCAATCACATTGCTTAGAGAAGTGGGCGGGGTGTCTGAGGTTGGGAACCGTATGGGTGGGTTTTGAAATTCAGCCTTGTCCAAGATCCTGGGTGCACCTGCAAGTGGTCAGATCTGCGGCAGCAGAGCTCACTCACTGCCGGGGGCCCCTGGGGCGGTTAGCAGGCCGCCTGGGACCCGGGAGCTGCCCAGCAGGCAAAAGTCTATGATGGAGCAGAGGCGGGGACACAGTGCGTCCCATCCCAGGGCGCTCAGCTTGGCCATCCTCACCCCACGTTTCTCCTGCCTCCACAGCAGGATCAGAATGTGGCTGGGAAGTGCGTTGGTCAGGGCTGAAGGTTCTAAAAGAATCATCGCTGTATTAAAATCCTGTCTGGCCCACAAGCTGCAGGAACGTTGGGAGATTTTGAACATTAAGGGAAAAAGAAGGAGAGGGGCAAAATTCCCTCTCAAAGGGTCAAATCAGCCCTGAAATAAGTTTCGGTAGCAGCGGAGTTTGAGGCATTGCAAATCAAGCTTCCTGGGGAAAACGGATGTTCTGTGAAGCCACATATCAGCCCCGCCTGGGAAGGAGCCGGGCGCGGCCCGCCCCGCCCCCTCCGGTATCGATCCCACCCCGCCGGGGAGGCGTCCCGCTTGAGTCATTTTTAGAATGGATTTTAAAACCCCATTTCTGTCCCCCTCTGGAAAATAAGCTCGTGCCTTCTCAGCCTGGATGGCCCCAGATGATGCAGTGCTCAGCCACAGGAGAAATGCCGCAACCCTCCTGCCCATTACCACCTAAGCGGTTTTAAATGGGTTTCGGGTCCTCTCATCTCTACTAGATTAAAAAAACCGCTCCCTTGAGCATCACAAGGACATGGAGTGGTGCTTGTGGCAAGCCCCTGGCTCCGAGAGGCCCGAGAAGGGCGCATCTGGGCTCCCGAAGTGAGTGGCCAGGTCACGCGGCAGGCTGCCTTTCCACGCACAGCCGCCACATTGCAGGTCCTACACCCAGGATTTACTGGGTGTAGCCCCCCAGGCTCCATCACCCCCGCCATCTTGGAGTCCACCGCCCCCCTGGGCCGAGCTGGGGCCCAGGCAAACCTCCAGGTCAGACCCCTGGCAGGGGCGGCCCCCACATCTCCATCCACCTGCTCCTCCTCCATGCAGGCACCCCCACCCCCACCCTGTCCAGGCCCTTCCGGCCGTGCACACGAGGGGTCCTCAACACGCTCCCAGGAAACACATGTGATAAAAATACCATGCACATGTCTCAAAAAATGTTTTGCACTAAGATAAGTGTAGCTTTTAATCCCAGTTCCTCCACAGACTCCCTGAAGTACCCCAGCACCTAGCCTCCCTGCAGCAGGCCCTCTGCAGGCGCCCCTAAGGCTGAGCCAGACCCCTGGAGTCTCCTCCGCCCAGCCCCGAGCAGGCCAGGACCTCGTCTAACCAGTGTGACTTCCCAGCGGGCCCCGTGCGGTGCTCATCGCCCTTCTAGTGTCTGTTAATTGAGAAAACAGATGATGACCAAAGCTACCAGGGATTCCACAGTGCCTTTGAATGCATCCGTGTCCGGTAATCACCAAGTTTACGTACACTTGAGGAATGTCCGGGCTCCGTGGCTGTTGTGTTTCTGGTCTGCAGAGGCTGCTTGTGGTGGCGTGGGTTTGGGCAGGGACATGACGGCCTCACAGGTGGCAGCCCCCCGCCCCCTGCCCGGGCCCCATGGACCTGCACCTCTGCAGATGGTGCTCACAGAGCAGGGCTCAGCTCCTGGACCGCTCCTGACCCTCTCCCGGGCACTGGGCCAGCAGGGGGCGTCAGACAGGACCTGGCCCCATGGAGCTTGGCCGGAGACAGCCAGGGCGGCTTGCAAGGGGGACTGCTGCACGCAGGGGCAGCATGTGTGTTGCCTTTGGGATGGCCCAGACCTCCTGTGGCCGCACCCCAGCTGGGGCGTCCATAGCTCTGGCTCCGGGCAAAGCCATCGGCTTCCCCCCACCTGCTGCGTTTCTCCAGGGGAAGACCCTCACCTTGGAACCAAGGTGTGACGGGTGGGAGCGGCTGTTGCCTGGGGCGCCTTTGTGCAAGGAAGTGGTCAAGCGCCTGATGCAGGCGCAGGGGCTGCCAGTCTGGGCGCCACGCTGGGTCTCTGGCTGTGAGTTGGCAGGTTGGTCAGGAGGAACTGGGTTGTGCTGCAGAACAAGCCGGCCCACATCTCGGTGTAGCAGAGATTTCTTTCCGTCACTCAGGGACCCAGGGTGACACAGGCCCCTCCCACCGTGAGCTTTCCGGAGCACCAGGCCAGGAGCACAGAGAACTGTCCCTATTGGGCTGGCCCTAGGCTGCTATCCCCACACCCCCAGGGGGCAAACCGGAATACCTGTGACAATGACAACAGTCAGCCACTTTTTCCAGCTGGAAGGGGCCGACAGGAGACAAGGTCATGAGAAATGGATTCCCAGTTTCAGCCCTCGCGGGTTTGATTTGTGGTCTCTTCTGCCATCTTCCCTAGCACGGGAAAGGAGAGGCTACAAGAATGTCTCTGCCAGTGAACTTGGATTTGGCAGGCGGGCAGAGGCCGCCTCCGGGAGTGCGCTCTGGAAATTCAGAGCACCGACTGGAGTGACAGGTGCCGATGCCCTCGTCTGCCCCGGCTTGACGGGTGGCATCTGTCGCTGTGTCTGGCATCAGTGAGGTCGTAGGGTCTCCGAATCACCGGGACTGTCATCTGTCCCCACTGTGAAAGCAAACACAACCGTGGCCCTGATGCCAGTGAACCTGTTTGCAGACCAGGGAGCATCGTGCCACCCAGGGGCAGGCTGGTGGCTGCCCCAGCCCTGCGGGGCGGCACAGCAGGGTTTGCGTGGACACTAGCAGCCCAGGCTCTCATTTCACAACCAGCTCCATGGCTGCACCCATCAGCAGAAATCACCTCTTGAGTCTCCTGGAGCGAGGCCCAGAGTTATCTCATTCAGGACATGACCCTGGGCGGGAGGGGGGGTTGGACACAGGGACCTGGGGCCATCTGTGCACTTCCTGGGGGGAGGGGCCGTCGTTCAGCTGAGCCCTGAGCCCTGGGGAAGGATGGTGGGCAGAGACGGGTGCTGGACAGAGGGACATCCGGCTGCCTTCAGAGCACAGGAGTCCGAGCCGCAGGTGTGGAGAGGGAGGCGGAGCCCACCTCAGGCGCGCACCCTACCGGCCTTCCCAGCACCCAAGCTCACTCCCGGGGCCGTCCTGGGAATAACCTTGCAGGGGCGAACCCCAGTGAGGAGGCCGCAGAACCAGGGCTCCACAGAGGAGTCCTGGGCCCTTTGTCATGTGGGCATCGTGTCGGGGCTGTGACCCAAGACCCGGGAGTTCCCGCCACTTACAGCACAGCCCCGGGCTCCTGACCAGCGGGGCGAGGTGACAGAAGTGCCTGCCTGCGGCCAGAGGAAGTGCAGGGTTGCCAAAGTCCTGTCACCGGGACTTCCTTCCGGGGAGTGGCGGCGGGGGTGGGAAGAATGGAAGCCTGCCCCCACCCAGCCCCTCTCCCCCACCCCACCCCCGCGCAGAGGAGGTGGCTGCACACAGAGGCAGAGACCGCCAGAAAACCTGGAGAGCTTCCTTGGGGAGCACGGTTGCCCCCAGAGCCCTGGCAATGCCCCTGGCTCCAGAGGCGGAAGTGACGGCCCTCCCCACCAGCCCTTGTGAAACCTGCAGGCCACGCAGACGTCACCTAACCCACACCCTAAGGTGACCCCCAAGAGAAGGGGCCTCAGTTTCCCCAGCTGTCGAGTCCAGCTTTTGTAAAGTGTAGGCTGGATACCCACCAGACAGCCAGGCACCACCAACCGGTCCCAAGCTGGGGGCAGCCTGGCTAACACAAGAGGGGGTGGGGACATGGCCAGGTGGCAGGGGACTAACTGAGTGCTGCCATGACAGCACCCCTGGGCCCGGCTGACATCCCTGGAGCAGGTCCACCCCTGATCTCGCATGACAGCTCCTGCAGTGGTGGGGCGTGACGCTCTCCTCCTGCAGCCCACCCACCACCAGGACCTGCCCTTCGTGTCACCAGGGGCGTGAGGAGGACGGGCCAGGGGGACAAGCAAACCTGTCCAAGCACTGCAGTGACGTGCAGGCAATTTGGGCTAAGTCCTGGCCTCCTTGGGGCTCCATGTCCTGACTTAAAAAAAAAAAAAAAGATTTATTTATTTATTTGAAAATCAGAGTTACACAGAGAGAGGAGAGGCAGGGAGAGAGAGAGAGGTCTTCCATCCGCTGGTTCACTCCCCAGTTGGTTGCAATGGCTGGAGCTACGCCAATCAGGAGCCAGGAGCTTCTTCAGGTCTCCCATGCAGGTGCAGAGGCCCAAGGACTTGGGCCATCTCCCACTGCTCTCCCAGGCCATGGCAGAGAGCTGGATGGGAAGTAGAGCAGCCGGGATTTGAACGGGCGCCCACATGGGATGCCGGCACTGCAGGCGGCAGCTTTACCTGCTATGCCACAGCACCGGCCCCAATGTCCTGACTTTTAAACTAGGTGAAGGACAGCCCTCTGTCCCCCAGCCACCTCCTTGCTGGACTGCAGTGAGCCCATGCTCCTCCTGGGCTCCAATCCCGGCTCTCCCCCTCGCTAGCTGTGTGTGCACACGGGCAGGCGGGGGCTGGGTCCGGTGCGGCCAGGCCTGGTTAGTGCTGGCCTGGACCCAGGGGAGGTAAGAGTGGGGGAACAGGAACTTGGGCTCCGTGCGGGGGTGGCCATACATGAATATTGCAGACTAGCTGTCCCACTAGCTACTGGCAGGGCGAGTATGGGGGAAAGGTCAGCCGGCTAAGGCTAAGAAAGCCCAGAGGGAGGAGTGGAGTCAGGCTGCCCTGGGTGCTCCATGTCTCTTCCTTCTCGCTTTCCCTGCATTTGCAAGTGACACTGAATTTGCCAAGCAGCTGTGATGTCCTGCATGGTGAACTCAGGGCTATCAAACTCGTCCCTGGCCCATGTCCCTGGCCCATGTCCCTCTGCATCTAGACTTGTCCCCCTCCCCCTCCCCCACTTAGTTCCCGTGTGGGGCTGGCCCCTGTGCTGCCTCGGGCTGCACCCCACTTCCTCCAAAGCGGAGCACACACACCAGGCAGAACCCGCCTCTGTCGCCCTTCCTCAAGGACCACTGTGTAGCCTGCAGAGCAGTAGCTGAGCCCAGCCACGACTTTCAATGCCACCGTGAGCTGAGACCCCCGGGGACCCACGGGGGAGTCTCTCAGAGCCGGAGGCCGGAACGTGTCAGTGGGCACCGCTGTACGTAGAACCAGTCAGCCGTGCCTGCGGCCTGAAGGGCCGGCAGAGGCTCACTCATGCCCAGAGCTGCCGGGCCCGGGGCGTCCACGGCCAGCAGTCCAGCAGAGGGAGAAGGTATTAATAGCTTGCGGTGCCGGGCACCGCCGGGGGAATGTGCTCTCAAGCAGCACCGGTCGGTAACGAGGGCCTCGCCTGGCCGAGTCTCCTTGGTGCCCTCCTGAGACAAAGTCAGGGCGTCTTCAGGGGCCATTTGCAGCCCAGAGCTCGGCACTGGCCAGCCCGGGGAGGAGGAGACCCCAGCTCCACTTCCCGCTCTGCTCCCAGCCAGGCCTTGCTTTGTCTTACTTGCAAAGTGGCCGTGAGCAAGCCTGCCTTTCCTAGAGCCCAGGGCGGGGCGGGGGTGGGGGGGAAGGGGGGGCCGGGAACCTGAGCACTGTGACCATGTTGCTAGAAATAGTAATCACCTGTGTTCAGGGCCCTGGGCTAACCTTTGCACATTCCATGGGACTTAGCATCATTATTACCTGTTCTACAGACAGGGGAAACTGAGGCTCGGAGTTTCCCCAGCTTGTCTGAGGTCACACAGCAACGGTACAGCGGGGCCGTGACGTAGCTCAAAGGTACAGCTTTGCTGTACTCCTCCAGGCCCGGGCTGCACAAAGGCAGGGGCCCTGCTTGCTTCCTGTGGGGCCCGGGTCCACGTTCCCACAGGAAGGAGGCCAGCGTGGAGGAGTGGAGACATCATCTGCACTTTATTTGTGGCTTTTTTTCCCCTAACATTTAAACCTAAGAGGTAACAACGTTAACGTTTCCCTCTCGTCCCTGGCTGCATAAAGCAACCACCATCACTCTGGCAACAGAGTATTCCGGAAGTAATATTTGGTGGTTTCTTAAGTTCCCCCCGGAGGGGGTGGAATCTGCTCTGGTCACAGCTGGGACGATGCAGGGCCACCCCTCCCGCCAAGTGCCCACCCAGGCCTCCCTCATTAAAATCCCACCCTCCCCCTGCTTTCCAGAGGCCCTGCCCACGGCAGCAACCAAAGTGAGAAGGAGCAAACCGAGGACCCCGCCGCCGACAGGCACCCCACATCCTGCCCGGGCTGCGACTTCCCCCACGTCTTCGCCTTGCAGACTTCGTGGGGCAGCCCTCCCCACACGGCACCATGGTTGTGCAGGACAGTGCGGATGCCGGGGACAGCAGGCTGGGCGTGCGGCTGCAGCCCTTCCTGCACCAGGTCGGGGGGCACCTGAGCGTGATGACGTATGACGAGCACACCGTGTGCAAGCCCCTCATCTCCCGGGAGCACAGGTTCTACGAGGCCCTGCCTCCGGCCATGAAGCGCTTCACCCCGCAGTACAAAGGTGAGGGGCCGGGGCCCAGGCGGGCAGGGTTGCCATGGAGACGAGCCCCTCTCCCAGCCGGGCGGCCTTCATGTCCTAGTTTTCTCTGAACTCCCAGTCTCCAGGTCTGGCTTTCCTGCAAATTAGCTCAGGCTGCCAGACCTGCCCCCGGGGAGGGGGCATTAGGATGGGGGTCCATCCTCTGGTCTCCGCCCGGGGTGTCAGGGCTGCTTACCTGACGGTGGCCGCACTTCCTTGATGCAGGTGATGGCCGGGAAGGGTGGCAAGTGGCACTCACAGTGTGGGCGCATGGCAAATGCTTGTGTGGGACCTGTGCATCAGAACTCCAAGGTCAGCGCCCAGGCCATTTCCAGCATGGTCCAGAGGACCACTAGTGGGGTGGCCACGGGGTCTCGTGCCCCAGATACTGAGTCCAAGCACTGTTCCCACTGGCTCACTCACTGCCCACAGCATGGGCCACGCAGGGCCACGGGCCTGACCCAGCTGATGAGACACGCCCACGTGGGCAGACACCAGACTCAGCACCTAGGGGGGTGGGGGCACGAGGACAGGGAGCGGGGTCGGGCTGTGGATGGGAGGGTTCCTGGAAGTGCCCCCAGGCTGTGCAGCCCTCCTGGGGATCGGCCAGCCCAAGGACAGAGGGGACCTGCCTCGCCCAGGCCCCTCAGCAGGTGACCTCGGGCTAGGAGTCACAAGGGCTCACGAGGCTCCCGCATGGGGTCTCCCATCCTGTCCCAGAATGGAGCAGCCTCCCAGGAATGGGGCCATTTCCGAAGCGGCCAACACACACCACAGGGCACACCGTCTCCTTACTGGCATCTGGGAGAGCACGGGGTCAGGGACATCGCTCCAGAGGGCAGCCTCCCGGTGCCAGCAGTCTCTGTGGGCCCTTGTGGGCTCCCGAGCGCGACGGTCTCGTGGGCTGCACGCTGCTGCCTCGTGGGCTGCCTGTCAGCCGTGGGCAGATGAGGAAGTGCTCTTGGGCCCGGCTGGCCAACAGTTGAGCCAGATTCGGATTGCAGACGGCGGCGAGTGAATGTTCTCTCATGAGCTTAAAAATAAGCACATGAGAGAATGCTCACCGAGGCTCGGGAAGCTGCTCAGCCAAAGCGAAGGTGCTGAGGTGCCCAGGGCATGCGGATCCGGCGGTAAGCTGCCCGCCCAGCTGGCACGGTCTGGGGCCGAGGCGAGCGGGGAGGGCTGGCGAGCAGGCAGACGGGGCCCTGGCCTGGCCCTGCACGCTCCTGGTGAGCAGAGCCCTGGAAGCCCCTGAACCTCCACTGCCCAATGCCCCAGACACACAGGGCAAGCTGGAGGCCAGGCCGGAGCCCGCACGGGCAACGCTGCTCTGCCAAGGCCAGACCCCATCCAGTGGGTCCCAGCTTTGGGAGGGAAGGGCTGGGCTGAGCCACAGGTGGGCGGGTATGCAGGAGCGACAGAGGGAGACAGACAGACAGAGCCAGCAGAGGCCCGCAGGACAGCCAGGCAGGCAGGGATGCGGGGTCTGGCCGTGTGGCTCTGACAACATGAGAATAGAAATGACTTTGGGCTTCTTGCAGGTTTGGGGTTATTTGCACTCCCTGCTCTCCTGGGTTCACTCAGACACTCAGGACCGATGAGCTCAGACAAGAGCTGGGGCCTGTAGGAGTGGGTGAAGGTCACATGTCTTGCCCTCCAGGGAGGGCTTCTGGGTCTGGGGCCCTCCAGGGTCAAGGTCCTGTCTGATCTGTCACCACAGGCTCCCAGGGGCCTGCCACATCCTAGGTGGAACTTGACACAGCCAGTGCACGCCCCTCCTCCTGCCCTGGGCTCCCAGGAGCTGGGAGGCGGCTGAATGGCTCTCGCACAAGCACACAGGCCATGGCCCTCTCTCTCCCCCTCTTGCTCACGGAGGGATGGGCTCAGGGCCTGGTGCTGGTTTCCAGAAGTGTGGTTCTCTCCCTGAAGACACCGAGCTTACACCGCCCTCTGGAGGTGGCAGCTAGGGTCGTAGCCTCTCTGTTCTCTTCCAGGGAGCAGAACCAGGAGGACCCGTGTGACGAGGGGCACGGCTCGCGGGGCAACACCCGCTCTGGGTCCCTTCTTCCATACTCGTGTCTGCTGTGGCCCTGTCAGAGCTCCTTGCAGGCATACGGTCCCTGAGAGGCCACAATGCGTCCGGCCATCCACGGCGGGCGGCAGAGGCTTGTGGGTGGGACAGTGGGGATGGATACCACCGTGATTCTGGTCTCAGCCTGCCATCGTGTGCACAACAGCTCTGTGGGCTTGGCCTGGAGACCAAGAGCAATGGGGTCAGCCAGATAGTAAAGCGCCGGGCTCTGGGCAGTCTTACTTTACAGTCACGATGATGTCACGGGACACAGGTGCAGGGAGGGAGCCTTTGCAGGCCTGGAGAGACCTGGACGCACAGAGAATCTGAGAGGCCAGGACTGGCCCGGGGAGACACCTGCGGCCCTGGGGAGCTTACGGAGCAGCCCCCACAAGGAGCGCAGCACGGGTGGCACTGACCAGGCGGGAAATCTGCCCACTCAGCAAAAATCACCACCTCCTCTGAGAAGGTGCCCAAGTGGCCCGGGGGAGGAAATAGATACCTCGGAGGACATCCAAACATGTAGCCCACCTCCTCTCAGCAACAGGGTCCCCGCAGGAAGCAGATGATACATTCAAGGGAGTCCATTTAAAGGGGCTGTTTGTAGAAGTGCACGCAGGCTCATGGGGACCACGGCTCGATGCCGTCTACCTGCCCACGTGATGGGGTAGGGAACCATGCAATAAAGGCCTCTGTCTTTCTCCTCCCATCCTCCCTTCCCCTGGCCAGACTGACTGGGAAGAAGGAGGCAAGGAACCCACAGGTGCCCTGCACAGGGCCAGCCCCCACCCCCGACACAAGGCTGAGCCGAGAGGGCTGGCAAGGGGTGGAGGGAGGGCTGCAGACAGGAGAACACACAGCAGGCACAGGAACAGTGGGCAGCAAACACTCTCAGCATTCGAGGGGCATCTCCTATGCCAGCACCAGAACTGGCAAAGCTGGGCACCTGCCAGATGCCAAGCTGCATGAAGGAAAGCCAGGACCGTGCCACCAGGGCGGAGGGTGACCACAGCTCACCCGAGCCGTGCGCTGCTTATGCGGGTTTCCGGGGCTCTCTGCTTCTCCTGCCCTTGTTGCAAACACCCATGGGAGGAGACACCGGGGACGGGGCAAATCTCACAGGTCTCCAGGTTTTTAGAGGACTGCATTCCAACAACAATGTCCATGTGCCCGTGCACCTGACCAAGGGTTCGGCAGACGTGGGGACGGGACCCCGGCCCCAGGCTGGTGACAGGGAGATGGGGAAGGCGTGGCTGCAGCGAGGAGCCAGAATGTGAGACCGAAAGGGCCGGGGCTGGCTCTGCTTACAGCACAGAGGCGCAGAGAGGGGGATGAAGTGAGGATGCGCCTGGGTCAGGCCCGTTGGGAAGGGGACCAGAGTCAGTGAAACCAGGCCAGCCCCCATGGCTTTCCCTTGGACCAGGAGTTGGGGGAAGGAAAAGTTGACTGATGCCATCGAACCAGATTCAGCCACGCCTCCCTTAGAGGCGTCCCTTAGAGGGTTTCTCTTCCCTCCCGCAGGGACCATCACCGTGCACCTCCACAAAGACAGCAGGGGCCGTCTCAGCCTGGTCGCCCACCCACTAAAGGAGAGCCGCGAGCCCTTCAAGGTGTCCCCGGAGTCGGCGGCCGTGGCAAAGCGGCACCCGCGGCGGCGGCAGCACGCCCAGTGGGCACAGTCTCCCGCCGAGAGGTGAGGGCCATCACGCGGATGACAGATGCGAGGACACTGCTCCCGCCTGAGCCCAAGGCCGCCCGCTCCCCATTCGGGGCGGTGCCCAGAAAATGAGAAATCACAGGAAGGCTCTGTCGAGATAAGCGATGGGACCGAGGAAAGGGACCGGCGTGCTCTCTGCGATGGTTTTATCTGAGCAGCTGAGACGTGGGCAGAGCTGTAGACGGAGGAGGAGGTCGGGACAGGTTTGCTCAATTAAATACCTGTGTCACTGAGACCAGGGAGTGTCTGGGATCACAGCGCAGACACCGCAGAGTAGCTACAAGAAAGCGAAAGCGCGGCTTACACTGGGATGGGGCAAGGAGGGAGGTTAACCGGGTGTTCAAGGGTCCCTTGAGACACACAAGACTGAGGGTCTATGGGCCCTGGAGAGGGGTCAACAAAACCTCGGGTAACGTTAGCTGACCTGGGCAGACACAGATTCCTGGGGCTACTGACCACTCGCTAGGCAGTGGGGGACACCTCCCCTTCCCCAGGGTGCGCTGTGGGCACTGTACCTCCACTTCTCCCACCTGGACTCCAGGGCGCTCACGGACTGCAGATGTGGGTGGCCCAGCTCTCCTGAGGCTCCCCGTGGCACCCTGGGGGCTCAAGGACACGGCAGAGTATCAGGGCCCAAGCCCCAGCCCTGCGATTCTGGGTGGGGCCAAGTCACCAAAAATCCACGTCACTGATAAGGGATCTCCCCCAGGCTGGGGAAGGGGCGAGTGCTGGGCTCTATGAGCTGCCCTGGGGTCAGGAGAAACCCCCTGAGAGGGCTGCCGTGTGATCGGGTGCCTGCCGGGCAGCCTGGGGACAGAGGGGACAGAGCCCACGCTGACTGTCACACTGTGCTTCCCTCACCTCAGCCACAGCCTGGCCAAGCTCCACACGCACCCCCAGGTGTCCTCGCTGGTGCTGGAAGATGCTAATGGGAACCAGGTAGAGGCAAGGAGCTTTAACCCGTGGGGCCTGCACTGCCACCAGGCACACCTGACCCGCCTGTGCTCCGAGTACCCAGAGAACCAGCGGCACCGTATCCTTGCCACCTGCAGGAAGGCGTGCCGGGCCGGGGCTGGAGAGACGGCCATGTCTGTGGCAGGCGTGGGCAGGGGGACAGGGGAGGCGGGAGGGGGGGAGACAGGTGTGGAGATAGTTTGGAGACCCAAACCTGGGGCCTAGAAGGAAGCAGGCCCCTCCCAGGGAAAGCGGACTGGGAACACCCAAGGCTGAACCTCGAGGGCCGCTGGCTCTGGCTGTGCGGCCTGGGCAGCCAGGTGAGCTGGGCGGGGCGGGGGCGGGGCTCGTGAGCAGACAGCAATGATTGATGCCTCGCTGGGTTAAGGCGGCAGGCGGTGCAGAGGGCTAGGTGGAGCCCCCGCCCCCGCCACATCCCAGAGGGAGCATGGGCAGGGCCTGCGGGGGCTGCCAGGTTCTCAGTGAGCAAATCCAAATTGAAAACGCCTCTTGGTCAGCGCCGTGCCGGCTCGCGCAGACGGGCGGCCGGCTGCACGGTATTTACGGAGACACATCCGCAGCCCTGAACCCTGAGCAGCTTTGGCAGCATAATTACTCCACTGAAATTAATATTCCTGTAGCTCATCTCCGAAGCTCACATCGGCCCGCTTCTCCCAGAAGGTATTGGCCCATTCAGCGACTGAGGGTTTCCGCCTGGTGATTTTCCGCCATAAAATGTAAATTGGGCATGGCCTGCTAGGGATTTCACGCCTGCATTTAAATCTCAACCCCAGAGCAAAAATGGAAAAGGGGAAAAAAAAAGCTCCCATACTCATAAACTCCCCCTAAATAAATGGGCTTATTAGAGCAGCCTGCAAAGCGAATATCTTGAATTCTTAATAGCGAGAAGGGGCCCGTCCAGAGGGAAGGCGGAGGCAGCGGGGACTCGCTCTGCTCTCCCAGGGCAATTCTGAGTTGTGCACCTGCCCCAGGCGGGCTCCTTAACCCACGTGGCCAGGGTTCCTGCTGCTGGAGAACGTGGTGTCCCGGCACACGCACCCCTGCATCCTGGACCTGAAGATGGGGACGCGGCAGCATGGAGACGACGCCTCCGAGGAGAAGAAGGCCCGGCACGTGAAGAAGTGTGCGCAGAGCACCTCGGGCCGCCTGGGCGTGCGGGTCTGCGGCATGCAGGTGGGTGGCCCGGGGACCTACCTCAAGGCACACCCTGGCCTGTCCACTCTGGGCTGGGGCCGTCTCCCGTCCACACACCACTGACCCGGGTGTGGTTGGGCCCGGGGGCCACCCGGAGACACCCTTACGGGGTGCACGGACCTGGTCCACGCCACCCAGGGTATTTTAAGAAGCACTGCCTGAGCAGTGGGGTCCAAACCCCACCATGTTTGAACGTGGTCCCATGGTCTTGGCATCTGAAGCTTCCCACAGTGGCCACGTGGCCCAGCCCAGAAGGGCTTTGATGAGAGTGCGGGCAGGGGCTGGGGGTGGAGTGGAGGGAAAGTATCTGGGCACCCCCGTGGCCCCCTGGTTCCTCTCTGAGCCCTCACCTCCCCGGGTGCTGCCGCTGTGTGTCCCTTGCATCCTTATCCTTAGTAGCCAAGCCCCTCCTCCCAGTCCACTCCTTCTGCCTCTTTCTGACTGCCTGCCCTGGCTACCAAGGTGGGACGGTCACGATCGGCTAAGCCCAGGCAAAGGAACGGTTAATTTTGATGCTGCGCAGACTCTGTGCTTACTGAAGCTCTGCTCCGGCTCCCGCAGGGCTGCAGGAGAGCAGGAGGAAATGATCTTCCTCCCGTCGTTCACGTCGCTCACTCGGGCAGTCGATGAGACATCAGCTTGTCAGTGTTTGTTACCGCTTGCCTTAACCGCACACACACACACACACACACACCCCGCTGGAAGTGGAGTCTATGAGTTTGTGGCTCACATGTCCCTTGGAAGGCTTGGGATGCAGTTGTCAAGAGAGCGGAGTGTGATGATGTGCCGTGTGAATGGAATCTCTCTCTGGACCTCAAACCTTCTGAAATTGATCTGATTTATTTAGAAGGTGACGCCTGTCATGTGTTTATGACGGCTAATTTAGCAGCCAGTCTCTGGCCTTCCAAAGGCGAGACAGAGCCTATCATAACTCTCTGGGTTGGTTTCTTTTTTTTTCAATCTTGGTTTTCTGTAAGCACACCATGTAACATGAAGGCAGGAGAGACCTGAGAAACCGTCTTGGCCAGGTACGGGCAGTCCTGCCTAGGTGTGGCAAGTCCCCCTCTGGCCATGCCATTCGCAGGCCTTGGTTCAGCCTCTGCTGCCGCCTGTGCCGTCTGAATGAAGTGGGGGCGGCTGCCACAGTCCCCTCCATCAGCGTCTCTCTTCCATCTGCTCCCTTCTGGTGCCAAGACATAATGGGGAGGGGATGGGAGATGGTGCCAAGGAGAGGAGGTGCCACCCCCCCAAGAGTGGCAGTGAACGTCCTGTGTCCCCCGGGCTGCCCCCGGTGCACTGGCTGCTGGCACATCCCAGGCACACCCGAGCTCGCCTGTGTTTTCATCCTCCAACAACTCACCCCTCCCCCTTAAGAACCATGACTGTTCCCTGCGAATCTGCAGAGGAAGGACTTTATAAACTTTGTTGGGGGAAAATTTAATCTGGTTGGCTTTCCAAGGCCATTGGCTGTGATTTCGAATTCCTGCTAAAGCTCTCCAGCTTGGGTTTGCTAATATTTGAATTGAAGAGGGCCGGGAGCCAAGACTTAAATCAGGAGGTGGAGGTTGATGCTGGAAATTCACAAGACAGAAGATCCACATCTTTTCCTCGTGGGTGGAGCGTCACCTCTGTGGGGTGAAGGATTTTTAGACCTTGGATTGCCATTAGACACTCACACGGAGAGCATTTTCAATGGCACAGTTCTGGTGCTAGAGCGAAGACCCTCTCCTGCCCGTGGCAGCCACTCCGTCCTTTGTGCTCTCGAAAGCTGTTCATAGATTATCATAGCTGGTGACGCTGCAAATGTAGCAGGTGCAATTGTGTTTGACGTTGGCAACTCCTCACGTTTCTCTCTCCATCTTCGCGTTAGGTTTATCAGACGGATAAGAAGTACTATCTCTGCAAAGACAAGTACTACGGGAGAAAGCTCTCGGTGGAGGGCTTCCGACAGACCCTGCATCAGTTCCTGCACGACGGGACCCGCCTGCGCACCGAGCTCCTGGAACCCATCCTCAGCCAGCTGCAGGCCCTCCTCTCGGTCATTAAGAGCCAGAGCTCCTACCGGTTCTACTCCAGCTCTCTCCTCATCATCTACGATGGACAGCAGCTGCCAGAAAGACCCCCGGGCAGCCGGCACCCTCAGGAAGCTTCGGGGGAGGCCCGGGCCGGCCCTCCAGGCGGTCTCCCCAGGGTAGACATCCGCATGATCGACTTTGCTCACACAACATACAAGGGCTCCAGGGACGGGCACACCACCTACGACGGACCGGATCCTGGCTACATTTTTGGGCTGCAAAACCTCATTGGGATCCTGCAGGATATCCAAGAGGGAGTCTGACCCCTTCCTGGGCCTCCCTGGGTTCCTCTGGGCTACAGATTGCAAAAAGGCACCTACTTGTAGCCAGCGCAGTTGAGATGATGCTTAGATGTCTTTATACAGCCCTCAAAAGCCAGCTGTCCGAGGCGGACTCTCCTGAGAGCTGCTAAAGAAACCCTCTGGCACCCTGGAGGTCGTTCCACGTAGCCTGGCGTCTTGCTCTAGTGCTGGTCATCAGACAATGGACAGTCCATGCAAAAAGCAGCCCCGTCTTGGAGCGCACCAGAGAGTGGCCTTGGGAGTCAGAGGCCAGTGTGACGGGGACAACCGGAGTCTCTGCTGCTAAAGATGCTTTCCTGGCCGGCGCCGCGGCTCACTAGGCTAATCCTCCGCCTTGTGGCACCGGCACCCCGGGTTCTAGTCCCAGTCAGGGCACCGGATTCTGTCCCGGTTGCTCCTCTTCCAGGCCAGCTCTCTGCTGTGGCCCGGGAGTGCAGTGGAGGATGGCCCAAGTGCTTGGACCCTGCACCCCATGGGAGACCAGGAGAAGAACCTGGCTCCTGCCTTCGGATCAGTGCGGTGCGCCGGCCGCAGCGGCCACTGGGGGATGAACCAACGGAAAAAGAAGACCCTTCTCTGTTTCTCTCTCTTACTGTCCACTTTGCCTGTAAAAAAAAAAAATGATTTCCTGTCACCGCACCACCATCCTCACACGCTGGGAGGCAGAAACAGAACGAGGAGAAGCCTTGTAGGGTATGGTTTTTCTCCGCTGCAAGCTACTCATGGCCTCCCACCTTCCGAAGAGCAGCTTCGGGTGGGGTAGGAGGAAGTGGAACAGACCTGCGCATCGCACCTGCTCTGTCTCTGGGTTCTAAGTGGACAAGGACGAGCCCAGACAGGAGTGTGGGTAGCCCAGGGTCCCATGTTGCTGGTGGACAGGAGGGTCGCCTCACAGCCTCCTGCCTGGAGAGGATTCTGCCACATTCTGACCATGCAATGACTCTGACCATGATCTGCGGCTTCCGGGGCAGGGATGGAGGGGAAGAGGAGCCACCCCGTTAACCTCTGCTCCCCGCTTTCTATTTATTTATTTTGGGGGTGTGCTGGGGGAGGCAGAAGACCCGGAAGGCATGTGGGAACCAGGGGCAATGTTTACAAGGCCAGCGGACAAGTGTAAATCCAGAACCAGCATGCACAGTCCTAATTAATTCCTTCCTCGGTGGTGTGGAAACCTATTACAATGCCCCGGAGTCACGCGCCGGGATACGTTACCCAATTAGGGAAATAAATTTGCTAAGAAAATTGCTGAGGTCACCAGTGATTATCGGCGCGCCTTATTACCCGTTCTGTTTGTTGATTCTGATCATCAGGCGCCAGGGCCCTTCTGATTCATGGGTGACTCAAGCACACAGCGAGAAGGGCGCACTGATTTCCCGCCATCCTTCAGGGAGCTGGGGGGCGGAGGGGGAACGGTGGCTACTGAGACACAGGCGTGGATCTGCAAAGCCGGAGGCAGCCCTGAGAGCAAGGGGTCCTTTCTTCTGCATCTTAGACGCCGCTGAATTCAGGAGTTGGGGGATTCTCACGGATGATGACCGCCAACTTCCTGACATCCACACTCACAGAAGGAAAGAGAGGCCTGGGTCACAAGATTCCAGAATCTTGTTTGATTTTGGAATCCACTGATCTGATTTCAAGGCAGGTTCACTTCTCAAATTACTTTTGGCTAGCAATGCTGCGGCTTCGTCCCATGCTTGGCGCTCATGGTGGGAGCAGGGTCAGAGCCCGCTGGGCAGCAAAGGGGAGAAAGCCTCCGAGGGGAGCACTTGCAGATGATGGGAAAGCCCTCACACTGCCTTTCCCAGGCCACTCCCTCGCCTGAGAGCCTGGTGCTACAGCCGCCAAGCCCCAAGCTCCAGGCTTCAGCTGCTTGGACCTCCACCCTCGCTGAGCTCTGGGGGCTTATGAGATTTGCCTGAGGATGAGCCACAGCCTCCCCCCACCCATGGCACTGCTGTCACGGAGTGCTCTCCTTCACCCCACCCGCCCTTCCTGGATGAGGCCTTCCTCCTCTTCTCCACATCAGTCAAGGCCCAGCCGGAGTTCCCGTCTCCCGATGTCCCTGGCAACTGCACAGTTTGTTCTAAGAAGGGGACAGGGTAGGCCACGAGGGTTTCGATTGCCATTTCTGAACTACTGGGCTCAGAAGGCCTGCTGTGGTCTGGACACGGCTCTGCAGACTCAAAACCCCAAAGGCATGAGCCCGCCCGAACCGATCGGAATCTGGGAAGAGGGGTGAGAACACAAGGTAGGGAGAGAGGTGATGGGGTGTGGGTGTGTTTGGTCTCCGATCTGAATTTCCTGGAAACTGGCAGAAGGAGGGAGGGAGCCTGGGATCAGCTGGGAGCTGGCAGGTGCCTCCCAAGCAGCCATTCATGCCGACCTCCTTACTGCTTCTGAAAGCTTAGGTTCTAGCAGAGGGGCCAAGGACAGCCCACAAAACCTGACAGCAAACTTCACCAGACGGCGCCAATGACGTAGGGGACTAAGCTGTGTGGCGGGCAATCACCCCTGGGATCTCTTGTTCACTAACTGTGGCCATGGTGGGAGCTGCTGGAGGAGGTGGGGCTACGTGGGCCCTGGAGGGAGAGGGGAGTGCACACGGGGCCCAACGTGGGGGTAGACCACGCCATTCGGAACGGGGGCTTTGTGGCGGGGAGCAGTAGAAATGAGAAGGAGGGGAAGGCAAGTGAGCCCAGATGGTGGAGACACTGGAAACTGCCCAGGAGCTCCTTCATAGCGATTTTATTAATCCCGCAGCCTGCCTGCCTGCCCGCCCGGCCTTTCCCCAAATATTTACCACGTCCCTGGCACACAGGGCACAGTGCTAGGCCCGTATGGCAAACAAGCGCGTGAGGATCGTGATGTTCTCATTAAGAACCTTGGGGTTTCGCAAGCCAGTCAGGAGACGGCCCGAACATATCAGGCATGAAAACACCTCCAAGTGCTTCAGCAGGGGCGAGGGCTGCCCGCTCAGGTGTGTGTGCAGCGCCCCTGGAGAGCAGAGGCCTCGCGGGTCTCTGCCGCGGGCGATGGTCACCCAGCGTGGCTTCGAGCTGTGCCTTGGAAGACCATCGGGTCTGCAAAGTGGGGCAGAAGGGCGTGTGTTCCTGGAAGAGGGTCCACACGCACGGGCTCAGGGCTTCCTGCTCAGGACCAGCAAGTGGTCTGGGTGGGCCTCCCACCCTGAAGTGCACGGCCCCGGGGAGAGAGGGACACGGAAACGCGGGGCCCTAGCATGTGAGAACTGGCAAGCGGCTCTGAGCCGCCCCCACGGCCCCCACTGCTCCCTCCCTGCCTACCCACCCCAGTCTGGGCGGCTCTCTTCTTTTTAGGTTGAGAAACACACAGAGTGGGCAAACTCCTCTAATAAACAGGCCGCTGTCGGGTGTAAGAGTCCTGTCCAGTGTAGTAGCAGGGAAACCACTCTGGGCTCCAGGCCCCTCCCTCCCTAGCAGGTACACCTGTGTCCTGTGGCCTGCAGGTGCCCGGGGTGGGGGTGGGGGTACCTCACATGGAATTTAATTATGAGGCTGGAAACCGGAAGCAGATCTGATGAGACCCCAGCCAGTCTCTACCACAACCTCTCTCTCCACACTCCTCGTGACACAGGGACACCCGAGTTAAAGAGGGAAAGAGAGAGAGAAGTAAAAAGCAGGTGAGGGTCACGTGCATCTCGCCTCCCCTGGTCCCCTCCCTGCCCCCCTAGACAGGTGTTGTGGAAGAGCAGGCACGGCTTGGTACACCCGGGTCGGGGGTGGGGGGGGAAGCGGCCTGCCCCTGACCCAACCTCCCCTCCTCCACCACCAGCGGCGAGTGGGGAGACGGTGGCTGCTCCCCACAGTCCCCCGGGCTCCCCCGGGTGATTGAGGAGCCGGCTGAAGGGTGGAATGTTATTGCAGCTTTTCCATAATGCAGTGTCATCAGGACGCGCTGGGCCTCTGGGCAGCGCCGTGGCAGCCCCATCACTCTTCGCAGCCGCGCGGAGCTTCTGGACCGCGCGGGAAAGGGCAGGCGGCAGTCTCATAAAACAAATGGCAAGGCAAGACCACTCATCAGCAGCTCTCCAGAATGATCTAAACTTCTGACTTTTGATTTAAATCTGCATCCTCTGTGGCCAAAACATAAAGCAGAAGATGAGGCAAAGAGCTAAAGCGAAAGTATGGGTGCCAAGAACCAGCGGCCCGGGGTGGGGGGGCAGCCTGGAACCACGGCCAGCGGAGCCCAGCCGGGCAGGCGGGCTTGTGGCTGGGCTCGGGCCCCTGTCGTTGTTATGCATCGCTCAGAACTGCTTGCGCCTGCCCTGAAATGGGACAGAAGATCTGAGAACGAGCCCAAGCCCCAAATCCTGCCATCTGCCGGCTCCTGGTCTGCCCTGACCCTGTCCCCCACAGCAGCCCCGGCACACGAGGCTCTTGCGGGGGGTGGGTGGCAGTGGGACAGGTGGACGGGGGGAGACCTGGGTTGTATTCTAAATGCGGCACGCACTCGACAAATATTCAGGGAGAGACCATGGTGCTCAAGGCCCTGCTGCCAGATACTGAGGCTGCTACCAGGAGCCCAGGGAGGGCAGGCCAACACCACTCAGACACCTGCCCGGCTTAGAAAGAGTTCAGCGCGGCAGGGGGCAGGTGGCCGGTGGGACCCTTGAGGCTACTTCTGCCGGGGGGGGGGGCACTCAGCGGCTGTCTGGATTCAAGTCCAGGCCCACGTTTTCCTGGTAACCTCTGGGTACTGTGGCCAATCCTTTCCTCCAGCTGAAGAAGTCATCAGGAGAAACCTGGGCAATCGCACCACAATGGAGCTCGAGTATTTAATTCCTTTTTAATGTTTACATGATTAACACCAGCATTACAAAAAGGATATTTTCACTTTCAAGCCACTGAAAATGGGCAATCCGAGGTCTCGATTACAGGGATCATTATAACTTGAAACGCTGAAGCAGTGTGCCCTCCCTGCTGCCTCTCCCCGCCCCCTCCCCCATGGATTCTGCCTTCTTGCCATAATGAGCCATCAGGGCTCCAGAAAGGCCAAATCCCCGCTCCAAAGGGCTGGGAGGTGGGGCCCGGTGGGGGTTTCCACGGAGCCGGAGGAGGCTGCATTCAGCGTGGAATGAGTGACAGCAGCAGGTGGGTGGCAAAGTGGTCATCAACTCCCTGAGCGGCTGGCATCGCACAGCTGCATTCCAGGCAGCGCCTCTCAATGCGCCCAGAATGGCACTGGGTGATTGACAAGCCAGTGGGCCCGGCCTCCGGCACAAACCACCCACGGGCACAGGGAAAGGAAAGGGGACCTGGGGAAAACAGGGCCGGAGAGGGGCCCAGGACCTCGGAAAGCCACGGGCTCTGGGGGTTTCTTTTGTACCACCTGGGCAGCAGGCTGGGCAGGGGGAGGCATCCAACGCCTCACTACAACTCGCAGAGGAGGCCTCCGGACACCTGAGCGAGTAGGGATGGGAGCCAGGCTCTGGGGAACTCAGCCTGGGTTCAAGTCCTGGCTGTGCCGTCCACTTGCCCATGACCTTGGCAAGACCCTACCCTCTCCGTGCCTCTGTTCCCACCTCTGCACCAGGGGGAAGATGGTGGAACCGACCTCCGAGAGCCACTTTGCGTAAGGCAATGGAACAACACACACTCCCAGCTCTTTTATCCTCCTAAGTCCCATTGGAAGATAAAGAAATGGATGCTCAGAGCAGTTACACAGCCCACCCAAGCCTGGCTGCTCCAAAGGCCTTCCCTTTGCAGCCCCTCTGCCTGGAAGCCTCTCCCCCCACTCCCACGAGGCCGCCCCCTGGGGGACTCAGGTGTCTGTCAAACACAAGCCCCTCAGGGAAGGCCCTGGCACCCTCTCTCCCTGGCTCAGAGCACGGTGAGATCGCCTTGTTTCTGCAAGGGATGAGTTAAGACATAAACGCGTACCATCACTGTGTGTGCCGCATTGTCACCTCCCACACTTCAATGTAGAAGCCACAGGAGCAGTGCCCTCACCTGTCTCGCCCGCCACGCGACAACGTGACCTGTGCAGCCACAGGGCCAGGGAGGGCCCTGTGCTGGCGTGACGCTTTGCTGCCCCTGGCGGAGAAGTCTCAATAGCTCTTTTTCAAGGGGGCTTCCCATTTGTATTCTGTAGCGGGCTCCAAAAAAAAATCACACAGCTGGTCCCAGACGAACCAATGAACAAGCCCACTCTGCAAGCCGGTGTGCCAGACTCCAGAGGCAAGCCAGGGGCAGGGGAGGTGGGCAGGCCCGTCCGAGTCGAGGGCGACCAGCGTGCAGGGGGGCACTGGTGTGAGCTTGCCCTGGCGTCCCGTCGGTTTCTTCAGCCTCTGGTTGCACTTGCTGCCACTGAAGTCGACTCTTCCTGTTGCCTGTGACAACAGACCTCAGTCCTGAGCTCCCAGGACAGCTGCCAGCCAGCCAGGGGGCTCTTCAAATGACAAGGTCTAGGGGTGGGGGCTCTCAGTGGGAGCCCTGGGTGCCTGTAGCTCCGTAGTAAAGACACAGATTCTTGCCTTCTGGGCCTCCCGACAGCCATGGTGTGAGGATGGAGCAGGGGGTGTCTGTGGGCTTGGGTTAACCAGGCAGGCTTCCTGGAGGTGGTGCCCATGAGTGCCTCATTTCCCACACCCCTCCAACTCACACCCTGGGTCCCCAGAGGTTCTCCTTCAATAGGTCTTTATTCCCAACACCTCCAAGGCAGTTAAAGCTGTTCAAGCTGTTCCCACTTCCCACCACCCCTTCATCCTTCCTCAAATTCCACTCCCCCCTTCCTCTCATCCCTGCCTCTTGCTGCTCTTAGAAGCCATCTGAATCTTCTCGCACTCCCCTGAGCCGCTAGAAAGAATAGTTCCTCCCCCGGAACCCGCGCCTCATCTCACACTTCAGTCAGAGCCCCTGTCGCTGTTAACTGTGTGTTCTGGGTAAGTAAATACTCCCAGGAGTCTCCTGGGCTCCCCGCTACAATGCAGGTGGGGTGAGAAGGGGGGGTAGAGGGGGTGGGAGGCTGCTCCCCTGCAGGACGCGGACATGCAGGGCAGGGCTGAGGCCTTCTTAAGGGAAAGCTGGACGGTGCAGCAATCCCTTAGAAAGAAAAACCAGGCCGCCTGGTGATGCAGAATTGTGTAGGAGCAGACGTGGCCAAACACACACATCTTTATTATTTACTTATTTATTTATTATTTGAAAGTCAGAGTTAGCGAGAAGGGGGGAGAGACAGCGATCTTCCATCCGCTGGTTCATTCCCCAAACAGCAGCGACAGCTGGAGCGGGGCCAGGCTGGCCAGGAGCCAGAAGCCTCATCCGGGTCTCCCACATGGGTGGCAGGGGCCCAAACACTTGGGCTGCTTTTCCCAGACACGCTGGCAGGGAGCTGGATCGGAAGTACAGCAGCTGGGACGTGAACCGGCGCCCCTGGAGGATGCCAGCGTCACAGGTGGCAGCTTTACTAGCTACGCCACAACGCCGGCCTCAAAACAAAAACAGTCTCAATGAGAGAAAACGTGTGCACGTCGTAAATCTGATTAACATCCAGGAAACACAGGCTTCCGAAGCTCAGCGGCAATCCGGTCCAGAGCATGCTGCCAGTGGACGGGAGTTCTCCCTCTGCCTCCCACATTTATTTCCTAAAACAGTGGACCAAGGACCTGAGTAGATATTTCTCCAAAGATACACGAAGGGGCGGTAAGCGCGTGAAGTCTTGCTCAGCATCACCAATCATCGGAGAAGCGCAGTTCAAAGCTGTCATGCCACACCTCCGCACACCCACCGGGACGGCTGCTACCAAAAACCCAGAAAACAGCACACGCTGGTGAGGACGCGGGAGTGGCCGGAACGCTCACGCACTGGTGGGCGGAATGTCACACGGGGCAGCCCCGACAGAAAGCAGGGCAGTCCCTCAAGGAGTTAAGAATGGGATTACCGTAGGAGCCACGATCTCACGTCTCTGTCTCCATCCAGGAAAGGACCGGCTCAGAGATATTTATGCCCCAGGGGCAGGAGAGCAGGATGGACAAGCAAAATGTCTACATTCTCCACCTGAAAAAGGAAGCAAATTCTTTTTTTTTCTTTTAAGATTTGAAAGTCAGAGTCACAGTGAGAGAAGGAGAGACAGAGACAGAGAGAGAGAGAGAGAGAGAGAATGATCTTCCGTCTGCTGGTTCACTCTCCAAATGGCCTTAATGACCAGGGCTGGGCCAGAGGGAAGCCAGGAGCCAGGAGCTTCTTCCGGGTCTCCCATATGGGTGCAGGGGCCCAAGGACTTGGGCTATCCTCCCTGCTTTTCCAGGTGCATTAGCAGGGAGCCAGATTGGAAGTGCAGCAGCCGGGACTCGAACCGGCGCCCTTAAGGGATGCTTCACCACAGTGCCGGCCCTAGGAAGGAAATTATGACACACGCTACAGCGTGGATGAACCCGGAGGACAAAAGCCAGTCACCAAAGGCAAAGTCGGGTAGGATTCTACCTACAGCAGGGCCCCAGGGTGGAGTGGCGGCTGGCAGGGGCTGGGCGAGGGAACCCAGCTCCTGTCCAGTGGGCCCAGGGTCCCGGTTCTTCAAGACGGGAAGAGTTGTGGGGGGGGGGGGGACGCACAGCGTGCTGAAACCCACCCAACAGTAGGGTTTATGTGGACAAGGCAAACTGTATGTTACATATATTTCACAATCAATTTGGTTTAGGTTTTGCAGGCTGAATCAGTCCAGCTGACAGTGCTCAGGCTAGGGAACTTGTGCCTTGGGGCCGCAGAGAGCAAGCCAGGGCTGAGTTCCCAGGAAGGGCTAGTGGCAGAGAACCAGTGGTCTCGGCAGGCACAGTTTCGGCTGTAAGAAGGCAGGCCAGGCGTGAGGTTCCAACGCATCTCCCACCCCCAGGCAATTTGTATTTACATGCAAATATATTCGCTTATACAAAAGAGCAGCGGTCTCAGAGGAGGGCTGTGAAGTCTCCAGCTCAGGCAGTCACTGAAAAGCGAAGCAAAGCTGTCCCCGGGGTATCCACGTCGGCCTCGCCCTTAGGGGCGGGGCCGCTCCCTGCAGGCCGAAGACGCGATTAGCTCGGCGGCAGACACGGGCCAGCAGCGCCCCCCGGAGCCCGCCCGGCCGCCCGCCCGGCCGCGCATGCCCACTCCGTCCTCCCGGCCCGCCCCTCAGGAAGGCTGGGAGCCGGAGTGCGCAGGCGCCACTGGCTCACGCCGACTCCTCCCCCAGAGGCGGGAACAGCGGGGCCCAACATGGCCGCCAGCCGCTACCGGCGTTTTCTTAAGCTCTGTGAGGAATGGCCAGTGGACGAGACCAAACGGGGCCGGGACTTGGGTGCTTACCTGCGGCAGCGGGTCGCACAGGCCTTTCGGGAGGGAGAGAACACCCAGGTGACCGGCGGGGAGGCGGCTGGGCGCGGGGTGGAGAGGACGAGGCAGGGGCGGAGCCGGCGGCGCGGCTGGCGCATGCGCGGCCTCCCGGGCCCGGGCCGCACGTGCGCGCGGACCTCCGTGCCCGAGAACTGCGGGGAGTGACGCTCGTTCCTTGCATTTGCGTGGCTGCACCTTGGAATTAGCGAGGAGACTTTTTAAAGTCCAGATGCCCGGGCCTTTCGGGCTTATGGTATCAGAGCCTCTGGGGGTGTGGCCTGTGCGTCAGTGTTTTAAAAAAGTTCTCCAGGTGATTGGAGGTGCAAGCGGGGTGGCGACGCCTGTTGCCGATGAGCGCATCCCAAGCTCGTTGGTCCCACAGCACAGCGCCGTTACCTCCCGGGGTTGTGCTTTGAGCTGATCTCCAAGGAGCTCTTCAGAGCCCACACCAAGCCTTCGCGTTCTTCCTGGGACCCGTACGCCGACCGGGCTTGGATCGTCTGCTCAGGCCCCTGTGTGTAACAGGCCTGCATTCTTGCTCCCCTGCTCTGCGATTCGGTCCTTGGTATCGCACATATTTGCTGAGCTCCTGCCATTTGCCAGGGACGGTGCTGGGTGCGAAGGAGACAGCAGTGGGTATAGCGGGTGAGGTCCTGTCCCCAAAGTGTCACGTCCTCATTCAGGACACAGGAAACAAGGAGACACAAAGGACAACTCAGATAAGTAACCATGACGCATACAGCTAAAACAAGGTGGCACAGTAAAGGAATAGAATGTGTTAGCCCAGCTAGCAGAGGGGACCCGAGTGTGCACTTGACTGGAAGGGGCCACAGAGACCCTGAGGCAGGCAGCGGATTAGCATGTCAGACTAGGGAAGGCAGGTCGGCTGGCCGCAGGCTGGAGCTAGGCATGGTTAGGCCTCCAAAGCCCTGGTTAGGAGTTGATCTTACAAAGCCGGTGTAATTACAGAGGGCAAGAGTGGAAGAGGAGGCTGAAGGAGCCGTCAGTGGCCCCTGGGCCAGAGGCGGATAGAACGGGCAGGTGAGTGGGCAGGACTTGCTGAGACCAGCCCAGGGGAGCGCCTAGGTTTCTCTGTCCCCTGAGCAGCCAGGGGTAAGATGATTCTGTTGAAACGGGGAAGATGAGATGAGGGACCAGGGGTGTGGGGAAGCCGATGTGGGTCGTCTTCAGTGTTAGACGCCAAGTGGACTCCGTTCCAAGTGAAAATGTCAGGTTGGCTGTGAGCGAGCGGAGCCCAGGCTCAGGCAAGAGGTCAGAGATACGAAATGAGATACGCAGTCTAAAGGAACAGCTTTTGCGAAACGTGGTCAAGACCTGTCGAAGCAGGAACATGGTTTTTTTTTTTTTTTTTTTTTTTTTTTTAGCAGCGTGGCCCAACACAGAGCCAGGCCGGTCCAGCTGATGGAGCAAGAGTGTACCATGGTGTCATTGTGACCGACTGCTGCGGGGTGGGGGGTGGCAGCGTGGATGGAGTGTCTGGCCGGGGTCTTCTAGCACACTGCACTCAGGCCCCCGCTGTTTACGGTGGTCTTCATGGCCTCAAGTGTGAAGTTCTGGAAGACAAGCGTCATGTGTAGCCCTAACCCCGCAAGCCCCGTGGCACGCAGGGCTGTGCGTACTAGGCTTGTCTCCATGCGAGCTTCCGGAGGACAGCGATGCCTTTTATCGTCCCCACCTCCCTCCTGCTCTCCCCTGGTGTCTGCATAACTCTTGGCACACAGAAACCCTCAGTAAACGAAGAACGAATGGATAAATAAGTGGTTGGTTATGGCTCATGAGACAGAAGTCATTTGGACAAAGTTGCAGATGTAGCAGAACTAGATGGAGAGGAGTAGTGAAGAGAGAAGGGGCTATTTCTGTGTCCCGGGCGCTGGGACGTGATGGGAAAGCCTCCTGGGTCCGGGGAACCGTGGTTGCTTGCTGTTGGGAGGGGAGGCGCTGGATCCTTGGGCAGGTGAGAGAGTGTGACAGTCCCTTGCCTGGTTGTTAGTGCAGAGGACAGAGCTTTCCCTGGCGGAGTTGTCATCTTTTGTCATCGCGGGGGCAGGGAGGCAGGATATAGCTCCCGGTAGTCAAAGGCCCACACAGGTTTGAGTCATAGCTGCAGGTCAAGGCTGTGTCCCTGGAAGAGTGAGCGGGTACAGCATGATGGCAGCTGGCGCGTCGCGTCACTCAGGACCCTCGTGGTGCCACCTGGGAACGCACCTGGGCTTGGTGAATCTTTGTGATCATTCTTGGAGGGAGCAGCCCCCTGCTGGAATTGAGAACAGCACAGTGAGTCACTCCCACTGACGCCCTCAGATCCTTTGTGGGGACCTGGCAGCAGGGGGCGGGATGAGCCTGGGGCTGCCGGCTGGTGTCCTGCTCCCCCTCCGTTCCCCCTTGGTTCCTCTGTCAGCCGCTAGGATGGCCGGAGGGGGAAGTGGCTTGTTCTCGCCGCCTTGTCCCCATAGAGGAGGGAGAGCAGCAGTCGGCCTCTCAGCCGCCTGCGTCCTCACGGTGACCCTGAACGCTGAGCAGCATTTGAGACCTCGTCTGCCGTGCTCATTCCTGTCCCGATTTCACAGGTGAGGAGCAGGAGCATGAACTCGCTCAGGGTCCCCTGGCGGTGAGACCAAGCGAGCGGGGAACAGACCCAGCTATCTTGTGGGCTGGGCTCGCCTCACCTGTGGGTGCTCAGCCCCGTTGTTCCCCTTATGTCAAGCCACTCCCTCCTTCCCTGATCGGTCCCCCCCCCCTTTTTTTTTTTTAAGATTTATTTATTTGAAAGGCAGAGATGCAGAGAGAGAAGGAGAGCAAGAAGTCTTCCATCCAGTGAGTCACTCCCCACTGGCTGCAACAGCCAGGGCTGGGCCAGGCCAAAGCCAGGAGCCAGGCGCTTCCTCTGGATCTCCCAAGGGTACAGAGACCTGAGTACTTGGGCCTGCCTCCACTGCTTTCCCAGGCACATTAGCAGGGAGCTGGATCAGAAGTGGAGCAGCCGGGACTTAATCGGTGCCCATGTGGGATGCCGGCACTGCAGGCGCAGGCTTTACTGGCTATGCCATAGCACCGGCCCCTGCTCAGTCCCTTTAGCGCCATGGGTAGTGTGGCCAGAGTGTTGGGCATCTCCCGTGCTGCCCTGCTTGCTTTTCTGGGCCCTCCACGGCCTCCCCAGTGCAGGCAGGAAGAGGTCCTCAGCGGGACAGCAGCGTGGAAAAGCGGGCCCCTAGAAGGCACATGAGTCATTTATACCCCGAACCTGAGAACAAAACGCTGCCTGCGGTCTCCACCTCGTGTTGCCTGCTGGGGAGGCTCGTGGCCCACTCAGGCCCCGCCGAGGGGGAGGGCACGGTGGGAAGCAGGAACGCGTGGAACAGCTCTCGCACCGTGTGCCCTGTTGTGCGGTTTCTTAAGTTACTGTTGATGGGCTTTGAGTACCGCTTCCTTAAGAGAACACACGTCCCCTGCAGTGCCGAGAGCTCCATAAAAGACTCACGACGTGGGGGAAGGTGGCAATTGTTGACTTAACTACAGGGGAAGGAGCAAATCCTTCTGACTTCATTAGGTGCCAGGAGGCTTCCGAAAGACTGTACACCAGCACCCATCTATGCAGCGCGGCGCAGCCCCGGAGGGCGGCCTGCACCCGCAAACCACTGTGCTCGCACTGTGTCCAGGTTTAGCGCCGCCCAGGCTGAAGGCAGTTGCACTTGGGTTTCTTATGTAGCCACCCAGTGGAGGCCTCGTCCCTGACGTCCCCCTATAGAGCAGGGAACCAGCTCCTCCCGCCCCCGCCCCCCCCCCCACACACACACGCCGCCTGACAGGTGCTGGTCCTTGTGAAGCCACCTCAGTTTTGCTCACCCCCCATACCTGAGCCCCCGAAGTCAGATTTTTGACGAAAGACCTAAGGACAGGTGGTGTATTTTTAGGTATAATCTCAAACCCACCGCCAAAAAGGTGTTGGGAGGAGAACCATCACATAAGAGGAAGTGCCCGCACCTCCATCTTGTTTTCTCCCAGTTCTGAATGGGGCCAGAGCGATATTCCTTGATCTCTGTGGGTTTAAAGATAACAGGTGCTCCTCCTAGGGCATCCACTGTAGGCCGACTCCAGCGGATCACCCCGTATTCTGAGGCCTGTCGGGGCTGTCTGTTGCCTCAGACTGCTGGCAGGCCACTGTGTGAGACCTTCAGTGTCCTCTGGTCCTTGGCATCTGGGGGACCAGCCTGGCCTCTCACCACTGCAGGAGGAGCCCTGACTTCAGCCTCCCTAGTTGGCTGCCATACAAGTGGTTCTTTGCGTTCGAGGGCTTAGTGCACACCGCACCCACCACCCAAAACCCACATGTGCAGAGCTTGCCAAGAATCTGGTGGCTTCCCAGGCCCTTGAAGCCCTCCCTGGTTTCCACTTAGGGACCCCGCTCCCCTGAGCATCTTATTCCCTGTGCCTCTCGTGGCTCATCCGCCTGCTCCTCTGGGCCCCAGCCGCTCCTGTCGAGGTCCCGGGCCTCCCTCCCTCTGCAGCATGTCGCTCTGTTCCACCCCAGGCGAGGTCCGTGTCTTAATGCCTGTGGGTCTCCTCTCTCTAGCCTGATTGGCAGCTCCTCCAGAGCTGGGGCGGGGCCTTTCTCACAGCCCCCAGCAGAGCGCGCTCTGCCTGGGTGCTCCGGAAATACATGTCCAGTTGAGTCGAGGGGAATAGACTCATTTCCGGAGCACCTAGGCAGAGAGCACTCCAAGTCGAGGGGAATAGACTCCCATA